TCTTTGCTATCGCCAAAACGTCAAGCACAAAATAGTCATCTGCAGCAGCGTACAGCGATGTGCACGCGGGAATTTCAAACATCTGTTGTGAAGTCACGTTCTATGTTCTGAAAAGAGGGTGGGGTGGGTAGGTCCAAAGTTGGAACCGTAGTCAGAATTTTATCATTTAATCTAGTTTTATTGAAAGTTATACCGATAGGTATTGCGAATATTTTAGTCCATATTGTATATAATAAAGGGCAAGGAATATACCAATATTATTAGCTTGCATTATAATATTTGCAACTATCAACATATGAGTATCAATATTGCAATGAATGTGCATATCAATGAAGGTACACTGAATAACAAACAAATTAAGAACAAACCCATTAAATACATCTCCAGATTAAGCTTAATAATTTAAATAATTTGCAAGTTCAAACATGTGTAGGTTAAAATAATTGATTCATAGCTCAATACCCAACGCTGAATTTTTCAGGAGCACTATTTTATAATGTAATCTTAAAAATTCAATCGGTTTTAAACCCTGCCAGGGGCCGCCTACCATCTTTTCGGGCCGTTCAATATATCGTCACAAAACCGTCCGATGGGCTGTATATAATATTGCCATTTTCGAATCGAGATTTGGCTAGGTACCCCTCAGTACCCAACGCTGAAATTTTCAGAAGTACTATTTTATAAGGTAATCTTCAAAATACAACCAGTTTTAGACCCCGCCAAGGCCCGCCCACCCTCTTTTCGAGCCGTTGAATATGACGTCACAAAAACGCTTGATGGGCTGTATATCACATAGATGTCAATGAAAAACATTGGTGTATTCAGCAAAGTTGTATATTTTAATGATGCCAACAATTTTTTAGAACATAAAAAATTGATCAAATTTGAAAAAAGCACTAATTAACTCAAAAAACCAATATTAAGGTAGTCTTAAGAGAAAATCTATTATAGCTCTACAGAGTTATGATGTAGAAATTTGGTGTCTTTAGCAAATGTTCATGAAATCAACTGCTCTGCAACTTTGTGGAAGCCATGGAACCATTATCTCGTAACTGGAAAAAGTTAGAATTTGGATGTGTAATACTAGCTTAAAGATTATTCAGGTGTGTATTTCAAAAGATGCGAGATATAATTTTGAGCAACTTCTTCCAAGACAGCCAGTCTCTAAAACGTCGAAAAAGGGTAGAAAATATTTTTGACCGTCTTTATTCATATTCGTGCCACTGTGCGGTGTGGGATAAAAGATCAATTCAGCAACGGGGCTTCACTAACTGTTTTTGAGAAACTTTGTCGTTGGAAATCTTAAAATCCACCATGATTGGCAAAAAAATTGGTGAATAGCAAAATATACGCGGTGATAAGTAGCGATTTATGCAATGTTGAGGGTGTTTTTAACACGTGCGTTTGGAGCTAGACTCTGATCACAGTAGGCGGTGCTTGAGATATGACGTGTTTTTCTATTGCCGTTTATTTTTCTGCTGTGAAATTAACAATTTTGGTCAACCAACAATTTTAAACTGTAATTGAGTTTCAAGTGTTCATAAAGTTAGGTTAGACTAGGTTAGCATTATTAGTGAGACTTAGGCTCTGAACCATTTGGTGGATTATTTTAACTTTTGGTTAAAATTTGACAGATGGAAAGTTATCGATTAACCCTGCTATCCGAGCATGGTTATTTCTGACAGACAAGAAGTTAAATTTTGACAACCGTGGCTTGAAAACCGGTCGAGCGACAGCACAGGGATTTTCGAACATAGAAAATAACTTTCGAAATGTCACTTTTAACCACGAGTTAAATTTAACTCGGCAAATGGTTCACAGCCTTACAGTCGTGGGCTGGTTTGTACCTTAGTGAATTGGATGTTTTGATATGTGCAGTTTAGTGATTTAGTGCAACTGAAAGTCACATTTTGACAACCAATTTATACCGAATTTGGTTTTGTTCCAGTTCCAACTTGGATCAGGTATCAATATCCCTTGATTTGTTGTCCGTCGATCTTGTTTTCCGTCGATCTAGTTTTCCGTTGATCTTATTTTCCGTCGATCTTATTTTCCGTGCTGAGCACCAATGTTACCGACGCCAGGGAGGCGCAGCTCCCAAATCTGAACCCTACCTATCGACCCATCAAGTCATGAACCGGGAACCAACGGCTTTACCGAAGGAAGGCGTTATCAGAGATGATATGGCTCAAAACATTCCGACGGCACCGACTGGGATTGAACCCAGGCCTGTTGGGGTGAGAGGCAATCACGCTTACCACTACACCATCGGCGCCGCTCAGATAGAACATTATTTTGATATTAAACTGGCTCTAAATACCTGCCAATCAGGGTATTGAAAAACAGAGAGCACAAGCAAAAATATAGACAAATTTCTAGCGGGGATTGTCATGACAAAATTTCTATCGAACCGGCTGTTGTCCAATAAATTGAGCTGAATTTTGTATGTGATTAGTGTCAATCATATAGTAGTCATCTAAATGAAATTAGCTCAATTGGATGAAGGTCAGTCGAGGTGGGTGGACTGCACCATTCAAGAACATGTAAATCAATCGGGAAATTTTTGTCATGTATGCCATTGGATCCGATCAACCAATTTCAACATTGTTGGTTTACTGACCCATAATTATTTGGCTTGTATATTATATGTCATTTTGTCATGATAAAGGCATTTTTAATTCCCTGGTGCCAGGATCACAGGAGTAATTTTGAATGTAAGAATAATCTTTAAGCTGAAACCTTTCGAAAGCATCATCAATTGTTAGGTTTTTTTTTTGAAAACCTGTCTTTGAAGGGAAATTTACTGCCCCGAAAATATTTTTAATGTATTAAATTTGTTTTTAACTACTTCAATCTTGTAAATGGGAGACGAACCAGCCCAGGGCTGAAAGTCTCTTTAATAATGATTTTAAAAAATCTTGTAAACATGACTAATTCATTCGAGTTGTACTGATTTAGTTATTTTATAAACAATCAATATTTTTGCATTCAAAATGTTTTCATGTTACTTCATACGTTAAGTTTACGATATACGATTTTCAGATAGAATTTCCAACCAACTCCCAATATTTTTGATTTATAGGAATGATTCCTTCTTTTGAACATGACCAGTTTTTTCAGTTTGTTTCATGATTAAAATCCAGCGAAATGACCCATTCGGCGAAATGACCCATTCGGTGAAATGACACATTCCGCGAAATTACCCATTCGGCGAAACTGGGCTGGTTGAAGAAGAGCTGGAAAATAATCATGAGTGGAGCCTCCACGCTTTTCGGGGATTCTTGTTTCCTCTTCCCATGGCAGTTGTGGCGATGCTGAGGCAGCAGTGCAATAGATTGGAATCAGGCTTGTACAATATCATGACGGTTATCATATGAAATTTTGAATGACGGTCTTCGAATGTCGAAGACCATCAAGGTGGAAAACGCTCACATATATTGTATTTTACAAGACCATCAGTAAGCAGCTGAATCCTGCAGAGCAGAGGACGATGGGGAAAGACGGCCACCCTGAGTAAATTATAAAGCAGTAGTTGTTACAGCCTGTATCGGGATTTGATGTACCTCAAAAAATCTATTACATTCAATGTTAGTTGCATTTCCTATCATCCTCCGCAGCGAATACCGCAGAGAATGATGTAAGTTGACCTCGCAGACAATGTAATGGATTTTTATCTTTTTTATTTCGTGTTCTGTCTACGTTTTCGACCACTAAGGTTTTTATTTATAATATTCTGGAAGGACGCACACACATGCTTCGCTTCTCTTCAATTTCCGTTCAGCAGAAGCTTTCGCGAAATCAAATTATCATACTTTGAGCGCTTCTTATTAGCATTTGGCCTATCCATGTTCCGACGCATGGAGAGAGCAATTGAGATAGGTCTGATAATTGCAACGTTCGTGGTTTGAGGCCAGTCGGTAACCTTTTTTTCTCTCACTTATACACACTCCAATTTTTTCGGTCTCCAATTTTCTTGCATTGAACCGCAGCTCGGTATATCTCATCCTCCGTTCATGTGATCTCCACTAACATCCTGCGATGATGAATCCCACATATGTAATTGTAAGCAAATCTTACATCCACCGGTTGGGTGTAGGATTGAACTGAGTGAATTTCTTCAGGATTTTTTTTTTCAAATTACACTTGTACATCTGTTATCAGAACGAATTCGAACCACAATATAGACACTGGGGCCATGGGGGTTCTTCGTAAGATCCAAAACATCAGTAAAAATGGCCAATTTATGAAACCTTACAATATGGGTTTCCTCAAAATGGGGTATCTTCAGATAATTTACGTGTACACGTACTGTGCAACTTCCTAGATAATCAGATAGGATATACTGTAGGCAATATTATAACTTGAACTTAAACCTATCATGCAACCTTGAACTTAAACCTTTCTGCAACCCAAATCGCATAAGAAGTCGGCAGCAAGTTCAATGGCAACCAAATCGAGTGGCTTAGTTCACGTAGCAAACAATACATATATTTTCCCGCATTATAGTATTAAAAATTAAGATCATTGATGGCCACATTGGTTTCACTTGGTCATGTTCCAGGGCTTTCAGGAAAGTGACTAGATTGTGACATGAGCTAAAACCCATTATGCGACACATCTAATCCTTTGAGCCTTCACCATCCAAATCATTGGTGGCCGCATTGGCCCAGCTCGTATTTGCTGTAACCGGAAGCTCCTGGAGAAGTTACATGGATCTAACACAAGCTAAAATCCATCATGCGTAGCTTTTCTGTGCATACTGAAAAACCAATATACAGTTGTTGACAAACAAACTGAACAAATTAAGCCTTGAGCAGCGTATGCGAATATATTAATTTCAAATTAAATTACCGTTTCATCACATACAAGCTGTTACATTTCCTGTGAAAACTTAATTATTCGAGTGCCAAAACCAATACAATAATATTAATCCAACTTCCAGGATAAAAAAATAACAGTGCGGCCCACAACCATAGGCCAAATTAAATCAAAATACTCACCACACTTTTGCCACCTCCGGTATTTGTAGTACAAATAACACGAGCACACGCAAAACAGCCCGGACAGAATCAGAAGCACCATAACGGCGCCTATCCACAGCATGCTCGGATCCACAAGTGGCCCCTCAATTTGACTCTCCCCATAACCACCACCACCACCACCCCCACTGCCAAGGGCCAATCCCCATCCATCAACTCCACCACGTGCTCCGGCGAAATGTTTCAAACTGCTCATCAGACTGAAATCACTCGAGTTTCGATCCCCCTGAACCGGGTTCTCCACTAGTACCCTACCACTTTCCTTACTGCGGTACGGCTCACTGTGCAAATTTTGCCAAAATAGCGTATAATTGTTATCGCGAATCAACTTGTCGAAATCCAAATTGCTTGGCACTTCAAATGTAATGCGCGATTCCATGGTATCCAGCATGACGCGGTGGGCACTAAACCCTTCATAGAAGAGGACAGCAGCAGATACACTTGTTGGGAAATCCCGAGTCCGACACTTGAACTTGAAACACGAGAAGAAAGCACATCCGACCTTCGCGGAGTCCGTTCACCGACTGAACCGTGCAGCATAAGGATGAAAACATCTAAAGCACCGTCGGCTCTCCAGACGATGCGATGCGATGAGCAAGTCTGGGTGGTAGAATGCAGCACCACCACTAGTTATCCAATCAGCTGATTGCCGTTCTACAAGCACGGAGCATAGGATTACATAGGGCGAAGGATCGCACAAAACAGAACAGTAGAACACGGTCAAATGACGTTTGTGTTAGTGAGTGACATGTTGCGCATTCCGAGGAGGGTGCGGGTGGGTGGTTGATGCTGTCGGTTGAATTTCTATGTACAGGCATCCCACGAATAGCACGGTGGGTGCTGCAATCCAATCACCGTTATTTCTCGGCAGTCATCCAACTGATTGAGTTGAGTTTTTGTATGTGATTAGTGTCAACCATATACTAGTCATCTACTGAAAATCATCCACCAAGCTATTCGGGGGATTCCTGTAGATGAACAGCTATGTTTCACCACCACCGTGTAAGCATGTGATAGTATGCTGTCGGTTTTCAGGTAGGTACAATCGGAACAGCAACTAGATGGGTGGTGATGATGGAACGTTTTATGTCTACAATTGAATCAAAGATAAAGGAGACGATGAGAGGACGAAGATTAGAGCGCATTAGGGATAATTGAGAAAATATGAAAACAAGCACTGCTGGACGGAACGGAAGTATTCACATCGTTTGACTGCCGCGCGCATCTGTTGGTTTGGCAGGATCAGCGTTTCCTACGAATGCCGGGAGGTTAGTTGTCATACGTAGAAAAAAAGGAACTTGTCAACACGGAATTGAAGATGTGTCTTAATTAATCCCTACGGGGACACGGGTTTTTGTCGTTTTGCGTTTCGGATTTAATTTTGTGACAAGGAAGAAGGCATCAAATATTCTAAGATTAGCCTTCGGATCGCATTGGAGATAAAACACTTTTTTGTGACATTTGTGGAGTGCCATTATTTTTAGAAGGATACACTTAGTTGTTTACATTTTTTCATGGGTTATTTTTTTTTGCCGTATCTTAAATTTGAACCAAAATCATGAGTTTATTTTCATTTACACTTTTCACTGTGATTTTTTCTATTGAGCGTCTGCGGAAGAGCTTTGGGTCAATGACAACACTCATTGAATACATATCAGTTTTATTTACTTTATGTGTTACTACGAAAGCTAATTTTTCTGTTTGGCTGGATAGAGATATATATCTACTAATTATATTAACACTCTGAACACAATGCCTCCGGTAACATGTGCAACGGGAAAACTTGCAGTGTTTGAAAAATCATAGCCCAGCCGAATTTCAAATCTATTGGCACCATTTGAAACATTATACTTCAAAAATTTATTCGGTATCAACCGATTTAAAAGTAGAAGGGTCTGTGCCTAGGGGCACAAACGGAAGCTTGACGTAGGACCGCTAGTGGACGGAATAAATGTGAAGAGCATTAAGTTGTTTTAATTGATCAAATCAGGTATAACATTTGATAACGGCACAAAAGCATTTGTAAACAAACATTCTAAGGCCCTTTACACGCGAACTAAAGTACGCCCACGCAAACCAATACCACTTACGGAAGGGTGATAGTTGCCCCTATGCCATGATGTTGTTGGTTTGCGTGGGCGTACTTTGGTTCGCGTGTAAAGGGCCTAAGAAGGTTTGTTTACAAATGCTTTTGTGCGGTTATCAAATGTTATGCCGGAAATATCTATTATCTCAACTCTTTCCGGTTTTGAATTGTAGGCGATCCAAATTTGTAGTAATCTTTTTCAAAAAGAAAGTTGATTACGAGAATCAATCAAAATCTCTTGCACCCCTGCTTCCAAGTTTGTGTGGTCGTTGGGGGCTTGTGGTTCTGAATATGGACAAACAAGCATAGATAAATTCTATTCCAACTCTTTACTGATGTAAGCTTGATGGCCCTGAAAAGGGCCGTTTTATTGAAGAGGACATCCATGGCCACTTACGCTTGGCGTGTTTAGTGTAGGTGACAGCATCACGGACTTCATTTTCCACGAACACCTTCAGCACACCTCGTAGATCAGACCGGAGATACGTCAGACACTGCGACGGCGAGCCAGACGACGGATGGTGGTTATCTCAAAGAATTTGCTATGACGATTGGCACCTCCTTTGCCACGACCTACTGCTACTATTGCTCACCACGCCGTCCGAAGTGAAAATGAGCTGATACCAGACAGCAGTGCTGCTTTATATCTTTTTAGGTTAAAGCAGAATGATGTGCAACCAAGTGGTATAAAAGCTACAAAGACTCCTCCCATTATGAGTAGTTTGCTATCAAGTAGCGACACTGGCTATTTTCTTTTTGCGTACACGGCGAATGAGAACGCCCCAAATTTGAGTTTAGTTCACTCATAATCGCCAAAACTGTAGGAACTCAGCGATGAGTAAATTTGTCTCATGATTTCCTGTGGAAAACCTAAAAAATCTGCCAGAAAATGAGGAAATTGACCAAAATTTTATTCAGTCTCGGAGTAGTACCAATAGACTGAGTGAATCCAACCTTTACTTTTCTCAAATTCGGGAATTTTTCCCTGGAAAATCCTGGAAAAACCTGGGAAAACATGAGGAATATTTACTCATCGCTGAGTTCCTACACTTATTTCTGAGATAACTAAACTCAAATTTGGGTCGTTCTCATTCGCCGTGATAGATATCGGCGCCGGTGGTTAGCGTGATTACCTCTCACCCCAGCAGGCCTGGGTCCAATCTCAGTCGGCACCATCGGCATGTTCTAAGGCATAACATCTCTGGGAGCTGCCTCCCTGGCGTCGGTAGCATTGGAGCTCAGTACGGAAAACAAATCTCGCGTCACTTTTCAATAGGTCCTATCTACATTGATCGATTCTCTTCACCGACACTCTCTTTCGTAAATAACTCGGCTTCACAAATCTGGATCAACAATAGAAAAGAGCCCATCAGCATTTGTAAACAAACCGTTCCAAAGCCCTTTACTCACAAAGCGAAGGCCACCCACACAAACCAACACCATCATCGGATAGGGGAGACTTCTACCTACAAGATGTTGGTGTTGGTTTGTGTGAGCGTCCTTCGATTTGTGAGGCTTTGGAACGGTTTGTTTACATCAGCAGCCCTATTCTATTGTTGATCCAGAAATGTTTCCTGCCGTCTTCGTCGAATTAGATGCTAGATTGTTGCTTCTTCCATCGAAAATATCCGGCCGTGGCGATTCAAAGTTGATCAAGGTTGATCAAAATAATTTGTATCCCTGCTTCCAGTTTGATCACATGAGCATTTTGTGTGGTCGGTGGTTCTGAATATGGACAAACAGGCAGATGAATTCTATTCCTACTCTTTACTGTAATAAGCTTGGTGGCCCTGAAAAGAGCCGTTTTGTTTCCAATGTTGGTGATGATTTAACCTCTGAAACCAAACAGAGTGCGTCTCTGTCACTTCAAAAACGTAGATGACATCCATGGCCGCTTACGCTTGGCGTGTTTAGTGTAGGTGACAGCATCACAGATCTCATTTTTCAGGAACACCTTCAGCACACCTCGTAAATCAAACCGGAGATACGTCAGACACCGCCACGGTGACCCAGACGACGGATGGTGGTTATCTCGAAGAATTTGCGTTTGGTTCTGAACATGGCGATGAGTGTGTAAAATATTACGCAATTCCATCCTCCCTATTCGCACGCACCCGAGGATCGGAGGCGAATGCCACTTCGACTTGTTTCGTCTACTTACTACTCTCTGACGACTGTGCTGGGGAAGCAGCATATGCATGTAGGTAATTGGTGGATTTGTTAGTTAATTCGACGCTTTTGGACAATGCTGAACATTTACCAGTTTTTCAATAGTTTCTTGTTGAAAATCAACATTCGGAAGCATTGTTATCAATGCGTAGCCATATTTCTGATCGACTGGTGATAAAATTATTGAAATTGGACCAGGGGTAGCTGAGTTATTAACGTTCAAAATCTTTCTTAATTTGTTACATGTTCCATTTTCGGTTTTCACAAAGTGTACCCCCATATAGAAATCAAAGACGTAGTCCTACGTCAAAATTTATTGATAAATTGCTGAGCAATGATTTTCAAACATTGACAATTTGCCGTTACACATTTTACCGGAGGTATCGTGTTGGGAGAGTTTATAAGGCTTGTACTCGAAAAAAATGTACCATTTTTATCCGTGGGTAAAATTGATGAAAATCTGGGTATAACTAGTTTGGAGTGAATTGTTTACATGTGCAAAATTTCATAACAATCAGTTCAGTGGTTATTGAGATGTCATCGAAACAAGAAGAAAATCGCCGGAGAATTTTGCGCGCCGTCATGGAAAATCCGACTGCGACCATGAGATGGATCGGAAGACAACTGGGAATCACCCATACAATTGTGTCTCGGGTGGTAAAATCGTTTAAGGAGTCCCAAACGACCGAGCGGCGGGCTGGAAGTGGAAGAAAATCGAAGACAGCTGACCCTGTGAAGGCCCGGAAGATGTTGGATTATTTCAAGCGTAATCCGAACCTTTCGATTCGCGACGCGGCTCTGAAGGCAAAGTGTTCCGCCTGGTTCGTTCAGCAAACCATGAAACGAGCTGGGCTTCATGTATTCACGGTCCGGAAGGCACCGAACCGGCGTGATCAACAAAACACGGCGGCCAAATCCCGCGCAAGGAAGCTGTATCGAGAGTGGTTAACGAAATCGATATGTGTGGTTATGGATGACGAAACCTACATCAAGGCAGACGCAAAGCAGATACCGGGGCTGGAGTTCAACGTTGCCAAATCACGGTTTGATGTTCCGGAAGACATAAGGAAGAAGAAAGTGGACAAATTCACCAAAAAATACTTGCTCTGGCAGGCCATATGCCAATGTGGTAAACTGAGTAAACCGTATATCACAATGGGTACCATCAACAGCGAAATTTACCGCACCGAGTGCCTCCAGAAGCGTCTGTTGCCCTTCCTGCAGTCCCACGGAGGCGAGACATTATT